TAGAGAGAAAAGGCCCGGCCACTAGAGAAAGGCCCGGCCACTAGAGAAAAGGCCCGGCCACTAGAGAAAAGGCCGGCCACTAGAGAAAGGCCCGGCCACTAGAGAAAAGGCCCGGCCACTAGAGAAAAGGCCGGCCACTAGAGAAAAAGGCCCGGCCACTAGAGAAAACACTAGAGAAAAGGCCCGGCCACTAGAGAAAAGGCCCGGCCACTAGAGAAAAAGCCACTAAGAGAAAAGGCCCGGCCACTAGAGAAAAGGCCGGCCACTAGAGAAAAGGCCCGGCCACTAGAGAAAACCACTAGAAAAGGCCCGGCCACTAGAGAAAAGGCCGGCCACTAGAAAAAGGCCCGGCACTAGAGAAAAGGCCCGGCCACTAGAGAAAAGGCCGGCCACTAGAGAAAAGGCCCGGCACTAGAGAAAAGGCCCGGACGAGAAAAGGCCCGGCCACTAGAGAAAAGGCCCGGCACTAGAGAAAAGGCCCGGCCACTAGAGAAAAGGCCCGGCCACTAGAGAAAAGGCCCGGCACTAGAGAAAAGGCCACTAGAGAAAGGCCCGGCCACTAGAGAAAAGGCCCGGCCACTAGAGAAAAGGCCGGCCACTAGAGAAAAGGCCCGGCACTAGAGAAAAGGCCCCACGGCCGGCCACTAGAGAAAAGGCCCGGCCACTAGAGAAAAGGCCGGCCACTAGAGAAAAGGCCCGGCCACTAGAGAAAAGGCCCGGCCACTAGAGAAAAGGCCCGGCCACTAGGCCGGCCACTAGAGAAAAAGGCCCGGCCACTAGAGAAAAAGGCCCGGCCACTAGAGAAAAGGCCACTAGAGAAAAGGCCCGGCACTAGAGAAAAGGCCCGGCCACTAGAGAAAGGCCCGGCCACTAGAGAAAAGGCCGGCCACTAGAGAAAAGGCCCGGCCACTAGAGAAAAGGCCGGGCCACTAGAGAAAAACTAGAGAAAAGGCCCGGCCACTAGAGAAAAGGCCCGGCCACTAGAGAGCCACTAGAGAAAAGGCCCGGCCACTAGAGAAAAGGCCGGCCACTGAGAAAAGGCCCGGCCACTAGAGAAAAGGCCCGGCACTAGAGAAAAGGCCGGCCCTAGGCCCGGCACTAGAGAAAGGCCCGGCCACTAGAGAAAAGGCCCGGCCACTAGAGAAAAGGCCCGGCCACTACACTAGAGAAAAGGCCCGGCCACTAGAGAAAAGGCCACTAGAGAAAAGGCCCGGCCACTAGAGAAAAGGCCCGGCCACTAGAGAAAAGGCCCGGCCACTAGAGAAAAGGCCCGGCCACTAGAGAAAAGGCCCGGCCACTAGAGAAAAGCACTAGAAAAGGCCCGGCCACTGGAGAAAAGGCCCGCCACTAGAGAAAACTAGAGAAAAGGCCCGGCACTAGAGAAAAGGCCCGGCCACTAGAGAAAAGGCCGGCCACTAGAGAAAAAAGGCCCGGCCACTAGAGAAAAGGCCACTAGAGAAAGGCCGGCCACTAGAGAAAAGCACTAGAGAAAAGGCCCGGCCACTAGAGAAAAGGCCCAGCCGGAGCTAGACTCGCAAATCTAACTGAACTGAACTGAACCGCCGCTGCCAGAAGCACGAGAATGATACACCTATATTAATTGTCGTCCTGTAATAACTCATATTCCCGCAAAGTTATCATTTATATTGAAAAATATTCATGCATTGCTTTATATTTTCATGGATATTCGTGTATTGCTTTATATTCAGTGTTGTAGTACAATTAACAAACTAAACAAGCAGTTTGTTAGCATAGGAATAAGGATTCTAACTGTGGTACAACCCTGTGCATATATATACATGTTTGTATGTATCAACGTATGTATATACATATTGATATGTATGAACATATCAATATACATGTTTGTATGTATGAACATATGCATATACATGCGTATTGAATCCATTTATATATCTGTTACGTGTCTGTGTGCACATTCATTTGATTTATCGTCCACATTAAGGATTAAAAGCATGCAGCAAAATCCTTAAATTTATACAGTAAAATTTCAAGCTGTGAAATCAAGCCTTCGAAACTCTTTCATTCGAGGATATGCAATTAAGCGCATGCTGTAATTAATGTAAGGATCTATGATTTACCAAATGCTGCGCGCGTGTGAGTGTGTGTGTGCGTGTGTGTGTGTGTGATGCTGATGCGATGGTTATGCTAAACCAAAAACAGTACAAGTAATCTTTATAATCCAAGGATAAGAATACATTATCCTAAATCATACAACACCGAAGGGCCATTATTTCATAGTTAAATCCCTTTTTAGTTTTCTTAATGAGAATCTCTACGTAATGCGTAGCTGCCATTTCTCTCCTGTGTTTAATATTAAACTCGAGCTAAATTAAGATCTAGTTTATTATGCTTAGACTCGGAAAATGGTCTTACCTCATTAATTACACACACACACACACACACACACACACACAATCGCAACCCAATAAGGCGCACGGAGCACTAAGCATCCGTTGTCAATAGCCATAATTGCGACGGCGTTATGGCCGAGGCACGAACAAGCCTCTATAAACCGCCGACACTTACCTCGGCCGTCGTAAAGGGTCGACCGCGTGATGAGCCTGCTACTCACTCCCGACGCACGAGCCATCAGCGAGAATTCATGTTCATTTTACTGCGTCTCGGGAGGAACCTTCACTCGTCAGGCATTCGGATGGCGGTAATGACGAGTCCATGAACCGGCGTGTCTTGCCTGCGTCGGGAGATTTTGTGCGTGGCCGTTGGGTGATTTGGGGGAATGGGGGTTCACGGGGTGGATTTTATGTGTCTCTTTCTGCGTTTCTGTTGGGTTTGGTTTATGTATATTTTTCTCTCTCAATTCGCCACATCTTCATTTCTTTTTATTTTCCCTTTGTCGGCAGTTCCCCCCCCCTCTCTCTCTCTCTCTCTCTCTCTTCTCTCTCTCTCTCTCTCTCTCTCTTCTCTCTCTCTCTCTCTCTCTCTCTCTCTCTCTCTCTCTCTCTCTGCTCCCTTTCTTTCTCTTTCTCTCCCTGCCTCTATTTCTCCCATTCTTTGTTTCGTCCTATTCTCTCGAGTTTCAAAGTGGAATATACTCGTCATTTGACAGTCTGACGCCACGAGCTGCCTTATTGGAAGCGGCGGTGCGAGTCTGTTTCCTCACAGTGAGACGCCCACAGGTGCTCTCCCGATGACAAGCAGTGAACAAGAATTCGACAAGCGCCCTTATGAACAAGATCGAGGAAGATTTCAGTGTTGTAAAGGCATGATCGTCAATCGCCCACTTTCCCTTGTCAGAAGAGAACTAGCCTCCCCTTTCAGTTGAGGGCTGTTAATGTCCCTTTTATGTGTAAAGGGAGTTATAGTCAACGTGTTCCCCCGACCTCTTTCCCCGTTCCCTCTTCCTCTTTCTTGCTTCTTAACCTCGTGGGTGTGTTAGGCTGAGATTCAGGTTCAAGGGTTCACGGGGTTCATAACTTTGTGATGAGGTTTGTTTCGTAAACTGTGAGTTCGAGGAGAGGTTTGTTGGTTCAAGAAGAGGGATTGGGGAGAACTCTGGCAAAACGAGTTGAAGTGTTGTTCGGTTGTTTTGGAAGGTAGTACTGTCGGTCCTGTTGTTGATAACGTTTTATTCTCCCGTTTTACAACACCCCGCATGCGAATATGCGTCTCATGCACAGCCATTCCATCTTGATCACAACCAGCGTGGTTTCTCGCCCAACATTAACATACCGTAATTATTCCCCAACAAGAGGTTGACAGATCACACCAAACTTCAGCGTTCAGACCACACGCCTGTCAGCTGTCGGTTATCCACTGCCTCTCCATCAGAACCATTAAGACCTGCGTCAACTCCGCTTGGAAATTAATGTTTGGACCAATATCATGTGGACACTAGACCTCCCCCTCGGATCCTTCTGTCTATAATCCGTTCTTTACACGACCTTGGCTGTTCCAACAAAGCGCCCTGTTGTGAAAGTGAAACGGGCTGCCTCGGGCTTTTATATTAGTACAAAGGGAAAGGGGGAAGAGGACGAAAATCACGGTCTTGTGTTTTTCCCACTCCCTTTTTTAGTCGGTTACGTTGCTTCATATATTTTACTCCGAATGTCTTGTAACACTTTGTTCAAATGAACTATGTATGTTCTCGAGCAAGAAGAAAATAAAAATAAAAAAATGTTTCCTATATAATAATTTTAAAGGGGCTTGAGAACGATACGTATTGTTCAGGCTCCGAATTAACTCTCCATGGCGAGTTAACTTCATCCAGCTTAGAGAAGAGTTTGGCTCCCGAAGGAATAATCTCGTTCAACGGCAAGGAAATGAAAACAAGTTTAAAAAGTCCACGGAAGAAAATACTTTACTAACCTCTGTCGAGAATTCTGGGTGTTGTTCTCTCTGCTTTTGCTGTTTGTCTCGGTCTATACAATAGTGGATGTTTGTTGAGAATGTCATTCTGCTGCAAAGTATTCGCGTTAAGCCCCCCCCCCCCTCTCTCTCTCTCTCTCTCTCTCTCTCTCTCTCTCTCTCTCTCTCTCTTCTCTCTCTCCTCTCTCTCTCTCTCTCTCTCTCTCTCTCTCTCTCTCGGCCATTGAAGCTTCAGGAGTTTGTTCATATTAACAAGGTCTGTTGCATGGAGGCAGTAAGAAAAAACTAGAGAAATTTTATGGCATAAAAGATGGAGCGATCGTGCGACGGTTTCAAGGATCAAAAAGTCATTAGGGGCGTGTGAAATTTTAGATTAAGACGACCAACACCGATTTGAGTCAGAATTCGACGTTTTCAAGCCTTTGACTTTCTTCTCCAAGATTATTTCAGAATTGTAGCGTTGAGAAACGTTGTGATTATCTTCAAATGTGCTTTTTTAAATGACTTTATTAGTGATATTAAACTCAAAATTACCAAAATAGTTTAGTAATAGTTAAGTTTAGTAATCAAAACACTAGATCCTTCAAACAACATCAACCCTACGTAACCCTGATATCTTGAGCATAACCCGGATTTATTTCCTCCCTCCGCAGGACACCGTCGACCAGACAGATGAGGAGGACGTTAGTAAGAACTCAACCGGATCGCCAAAGATTCGAAAAAAGAAGAAGCAGCGGCAACCAAGGACAGTTATAAATCCGTATGGAAACGTTTTCTTCTATTGGTTGTGTAGCCTAACTATCTGCGTCCTGTATAACCTGTGGACGCCCATAGTGAGACAAGCCTTTCCGGAGCTCCAGAGGAAACCGCAGCCCATGTGGTAAGTGGCTCGCTGTTCCTTCGTGTGTGTGTGTGTGTGTGTGTGTGTGTGTGTATGTATATATATATGTGTGTATGTGTGTGTGTCTGTGTGCATTTGTGTGTGTCTGTATGTGTGTGTTTGTGTATGTGTGTGTTTGTGAGTGTGTGTTTGTACAGATGTATAAATATACATATGTATTATGTATGTATGTATATATATATATATATATATATATATATATATATATGTGTGTGTGTGTGTGTGTGTGTGTGTGTGTGTGTGTGTGTGTGTGTGTGTGTGTGTGTGTGTGTGTGTGTGGATGGATGGATGGATGGATGCATATATGTTCAGTTTTACGTATCTATATATAGATAGATTTAGTTATGATATGATCATTATTTGTTTATTTCATATTTATGGAAACATATATATATAAAGTGTTTGTGAATTATACATTTATTAAAGTAATTGATTATTCATGGATCATAATGAGGGATATAGACTTTTATGCTTATTTGGAAAAAAGGTTTATAATCAAATATTCCCTTTATTCCACCGCCGCTGATTGCCCATTCTTTAAGCGCTTGAGATCTGAATGCCAATATTTACGAGTTGAATGACATTTTGACTTCATCTGATCTGTCTTTCATCTGTTTGGCTTCATTTCACCCCTCTCTTTTTCTCTTTCAATCTCTCTCTCTCTCTCTCTCTCTCTCTCTCTCTCTCTCTCTCTCTCTCTCTTCTCTCTCTCTGCTTCTCTCTCTCTCTTCTCTCTCTCTCTCTCTCTCTCTCTCCTTCTATCTCTCTCTCTCTCTCTCTCTCCTCTCTCTCTCTCTCTATAATAATATATATATATGTATATATATATATATATCATATATATATATGTTTATCTGACACTCATTCAATCCCATATTTTCCTTTCTTTCTCCCATCAGTCAATCAATTATTCTTTCTTTCGCAGTTTTTTAAATTTTGTTTCACTTTGATCCTCCTTTTTTCTCTGTGTCTGTCTGGTCAATTCCAATATTTTTTCTCTTCTATCTCTTTCCTTTGTCTCCCATTTTCCCCCCCGATCGATCCATTCTCATTTTCACATTTTTAACCCACGCTTCACTTCGTCTTATCTTTTTCTTCCTTTTTTAAGATCTTCTTTGCCTCAGTCTCATGCCACTTCTGAACCTTTTACTTCCAAACTTCCTCCCAAAGTTGGAAAGAATTGGTCCACGGAGCTCCGAGCTAAAAACAATTGGCAAATTTCTTTTGGACTTTCATAAGCAGTTGGAGACGGTGAACGTTTTATTATTAGTGTGTGGGGTATTGTTTAGTCATTTGTTTTACATATATATATATATATAGTATATATATATATATATATAATATATATATTATATACTATATATATATATGATATATATATATATATATATATATATATATATATATATATATATATATATATATATGTATATGCTTGTGTGTTTTTGTCTGTATCTGTCTCTGAGTGTATATGTGTGTACATGACTCCCATCCCAATCCTTTGAGCAGCAATGACATACATTTCGTAATAATCTTCAATTCCCTGCATCTTTGGCCAGTCCCATCTCTGCCGGAATCTTGAAAAAGTCTCTGATGATAAGCAAGGGGTTTGTGTTAAGATTTGCGTCCTGGCCAAAGGTTCCGCTGTGAAGACGCCAATCAACCGGAGGCTCGCTTCTTTGGGCGCCCATTCAGAAGGCGAGACGAAGAGAGAAAAAGGATTTGCCGATTGCCGCTCTGCAATGATGCGGTTTAATCTATGTGTGTGTGTGTGTGCGCGCGCGCGTTAGTGTGTGCGTTTTAGTGTGTGTGTGTGTTAGTCTGTGTGTGTAGGTATGATTGCGCGTATTTGTATGTGCTCATAACTTATATTGTATTACAATTAAGGGATAGCTTTCCAAAAGGAAGTGAGCGTAATTCTAAGGTAATAGTAGAGTCGGGAATTTATGTGTGACTTTATTGTCTTTGTTTTTGTGCTTATATTCTTTTCGTTATCATCAAAATACTGTCCCCAATAAAATCTTATTATGATGGCCACCATAATCATAATTGTTTTTTAGTAGTATTAGTATTATGGGGATATTTGAAGTCACATGAAAGAGCTGAACTGACAGTTCCCTGATTTTATTTCGCCCTCAAATTGTTTGGGAAAATTCGGAATCGGTGATAAAAGCAGATTATAGAAAAGGTTAAGAAAAGAAGAAGGAAAAGGGGAGGGAGACGAGGAAGGAGGAGGAAAAAGAGAAAACAAGATGAAGACGAAGGAGAAGGAAAAGAAAAGAAAAATAAAGATGATGTAGGCGAAGAAGGAAAAATGAAAACAAAAGACGAAGAAGTAAAAGAAAAAAAAGAAGGAAAAGATGATAAAGAAGAAGAAAAAAAGATGATGAAGACGAAGAATGAATAGAAGAAAAAGAGAGGAGAAGATGATGACGAATAAGGAAAAGAAAAAAAAGATGAAGAAGAAGGAAAAGAAGATAATGAAGACGAAGAAGGAAAGGAAGAAAAAAGAAGACAAAAAAAGAAGTAACAGGCAAAGGAAAGATTTCGTGGGCAGCGTCTTTCGTGCGTGAGTTCCTTAGTTCTTTCCTTAAACCTTGGAATGATTTGTTTATTTTCCTGGACGTCTGCGTTTTCCTTCTCCGTGGCTTCGTCTACATTTTATTTTATTTACTTGCTCTCATCCAAAACAAGCAAACGGCAGGAAATGAAAATTGTCCTTCCCTTAAATCATAGTGTTTAGAAAGAGATCCCGAGATTAATGCGAATGTCGAAAATTCCGCGAAATCTATTTGGACTTCATAAATCATCGGCTTTTTTCGGACATTCCGGATGGCAGATACGACTGATTCGTCTGTGTCAAAGGAAGTCACTGGGGACCAAAAAGAGACCCCTTACCCCTTACCCCTCCCTCCCCCCTTCCCACAGGTAAAGGAAAGCCTCTGTCACTGCAAACAACCTCCCCCTCCCCTTCCACCGTACCCCTACCCTTACCGCCCATCCGCCCGCTCCTCCAACTTTCAAAGGAAACTCGATAGTCACGAAAACCCAGCCCCTTCCTTCTTGCTCCTACACCCCCCTACTACACCACATCCAAAGAAAGAGTCACTCGCCACAAATACCTTCCCCCTTCCTCCTCCTCCCCCCTCTCCTCCATCGCCATCAAAGAAAACCTCATTCACCAAAGCACCGAAAACCCCTATGTCTCTCCCCTTACCCCCTTACCCTTCCCAACCCCGGAACGTTCCAGACCACAATACACCTCCCCTCACACCCACCCCCAACCCTCTGTCCCTCCTCCACCTCTCCTACCATCCCCCCTCACCCACCCTATCCCTCCGTCCCCTTCCCACTCTCCTACTCCCTCACCCCAACCCCTCTGTCCCCTTTTCACCTCTCCTATCCTCCCCCTCCCATCCCAGCCCTCTGTCCCTCCTCCATCTCCTACCTCCCCCCTCACCCATCCAGGCCCTCTGTCCCTCCTCCACCTCTCCTACCCTGCCCCCTCAACCCCCCCAATCCGTCCCCTTCCCCTCCACCTCTCCTATCTCTCCCCCTCACCACCCCAGCCCCTCCTCAGAACCTCTCCTATCCTCCCCCTCCAAAAAACATAGCCCCTCCGTCCCTCCCACCTCTTACCTCCCCCCTCACCCCACAATCCCCCTCGCGTTCCCCCTCCTCGCACTCCTCCTACGCTCCCCCTCCTCCACTCCTCCGTCCTCTCACCTCTCTACCCTCCCACCCACCCCTCCGTCTCCTCTCCACTCTCCTACCTCCCCCTCACCCACCCAACCCTCTCCCTTCCTCCACTCTTTCTACCCTCCCCCCTCACCCACCCACGCCCTCCGTCCCCTTCCTCACTCTCCTACCCTCCCCCCTCACCCACCCCAACCCCTCGTCCCCTCCTCCACCTCTCCTACTCCCCTCACCCACCCCTCTCCGTTCCTCTCACCTCTCTACCCCCCTGCCCACCCAACCCCTCCGTCCCCTCCTCCACCTCTCCTACCCTCCCCCTCACCCACCCCAACTCGTCCCTCTCCTCTCCTACCCACCCCTCACCACCCCACCTCCGTCCCTCCTCCACTCTCCTACCCTCCCCTCTACCGCACCCAAACCTCTCGTCCTCCTCTCTCCACCTCTCCTAATCCCCTCACCTCAACCTCTCCGTCTCCTCCCTCCACCTCATCCTACCCTCCCCCCTCACCCACCCCAACCTCTCTCCTCCTCTCCTACCCTCCCCCTCCAAGCTCTCGTCTCCTCTACCTCTCCTATCCTCCCCCTCACCCACAACCTTCCGTCTCCTCCTCCACCTCTCCTACCTCCCCTCACCACCAACCTCTAGGTTCCTCCTCCACTCTCCAACCCGCTCCTCACCCAACCTCTCGTCTCTCCTCCATCTCCTACCCTCCCCTCACCCAACCCTCTGTCCCCTTCTCCCCTCTCTACCCTCCCTCTCCCACCCAGCCCTCCGTCCTTCTCCACTCTCTACCCCCCCTCACCTACCCCAACCCTCGTCTCCTCCTCCACCTCTCCTACCTCCCCTCACCCACCAACTCTCCGTCTCTCCTCCACTCTCCTACCCTCCCCCTACCCACCCCAACTCTCCGTCTCCTCCCTCACTCTCCTACCCTCCTACACCCACCCCAACTCTCGTCTCCTCCTCTACTACTTCAGACCAACCTCCCTCCTCCCCACTCCGCACCCAACCTCTCCGTCCCTCCTGCCCACCTCTTTACCTCCCCCTCACCACCCGTCTCCGTGTTCTCCAACCTCTCCTAACCCTCCCCTTCACCCACCCAACCTCTCCGTCCCTCCTCCACCCTTCCTACCTCCCCTCACCCAACCCAACCTCTCCGTTCCTCCTCCACCTCTCCTTACCCCACCTTCCTTCTCTCCAACCCCTCTCCTACCCTCCGTCTCCTCCTCCACCTCTTCTACCAGTCCCTTTTCACCCAACCCAACCTCTCTTCTCCTCTCCA